GGAGAAAGTATGGAGCACCGCGCGCTTGCTTCACTAAGTCTCTCCCCAGCTCTCCTCTGCCCCGAAAGGGTTTACGACAGTCCAAAATGCTCAAATAACAAATTTTCAAGCCGTCGAAATGAGGTTTCGGTGACACGTGAGTGGGACACATGGTCTAAATTGGCCTGGTGAAAGAAACTGTTTAGCAGCCAGACTTTAGGTGCCAAGCGACACCAGCGGTGCCAGTTGGCGCGCACAGACTCCGACACCATTGTACGAGAACGCAAAATGGCAATCTCTCCTTTGCGTATATATTCCCTGGCTGATCTGTCTGATAACCATCGACCAAAAAGGCAAATGTCAGCAATCGCCACGCCTTGGCGGCAAAGTTCACTAGCCCCTGATCTTCTGAATGAATGGGTGGTCAGTTTGATCTCTTCTCCAGCCAGCAAAAGGGCCAGTTTCTTGACCCAGCGCAAAACAGAAGAGTATGACATATCAAACACTTTGGTATCTGTGGCACAAGCCCCGTGCTGTGCCCCAAAGCGACCCAACCATTCAAACACTGTGCCATTGCTAATAACGACTTTTTGTTCCATGCCGCCTTTGGTTTGCCCCAAACAAAGTGTGACATTGCCGGCAGCAAAGAAAATGTCAGACCATCGCAATTGCAGTGCCTCCCCAACCCGTAACAAGCCTGAGAAACAAACGCAAATGAGAATGCCCAACGGAGCGCGGTTGAGTGCAAATGCAGCCACCATCATCGCTGTAAGCAGTTCTGGGGGGGCTGCCGGTGCCTGCTGTGGTGGTTGCAAGCTACCCCACACTTCAAACACACGCCAGGCAGTTTTGTACCGGACACGAGGATTCATTCTGCCCAAAGCAGACAGAACATAGCCATATTCGGTGCGCCCACTGCCTTGTTCATAACCATCAACTAGCCACTCAGCTAAAAACAAATCCTGCTCTGCCTCAGTAAGAGAGGCCCAATCGGTTTGCGTCTGCAAGATCTCACGATTGAGGAGCTGAATTGCTTGTTGGTATTTTTCTCTGGTGGCATCGCGCAATGACTTCAGCAAGAAAGCTTCGACTCGGTGCCGGCCAAGTCCAAGCCGTGCGCTGCTTGCTAAACCAAGGATCCCTGCCAAAAGAATCAGAATGAACCTGCATGGGTGCATATGGTTGTTCATACCCGTGACTCTTCGAAGCAAGAATACGTGTAACAAACAAGCTGGCCAGCGCTTGGCTCAGTCCGGAGGGATATGCT